AGTGAATCCCGGAATATTTGTACAAGTACCGAGCAACTCAATGGAGAATTGCAGAAATATTAAAGATCAAAACGGATGTAAATAAGGCAACCATAAATTTAGTTGGAGTATGAAGAATTGTTATTCTTAATGCTTTCTGCGACTTTCTCACTTCAAACATGCAAACTTTGCCAATGTTTAATTCTTTTAAAACAAACAGTTCCTATTTACAAATGTAAGGAAAAAGCTTACGAACTAGATTCAAGTTTTTTCGTTGACACTAATCATTTCAATCTTTGGTCATTTAATCTTCATTGACATTCTTGTTACATTCTATAAATTTCCGAATTTAGCGGTATTGGGCTATGAAGAAGCTTCAAAAGCTCAACATGTATCGGTTCCTTCTCGATGATTGTAGATTTTCTTGTAATACCATGTTAACATATGGCTTTAGCTTTTATGAATTTTGCATTTAATCAAAATGAAAAGGAAGTATGAAACAACGAAATGGAAGAATGCTGCTGGAAGAATTAATTTTTCTAAATTAAAATGGTATATTTATCTAAATTTAAAACATTTTGGTGAATCCCACTAGTTTCTTTGAACCTTTTCAATTACGATTATTTTTTATAACGGGTCAGTTTGGAAAAAGAAAATTAGCTCTAAGCAAAGCTTGTTATCAAGGTATCTTTGGAATTCAGGATTAACTTTTTAAATTATACTTGATAAATTTCATTGCATAAAACAATTAATATGTAACAAAAATAAAATTAACGACAAGTGTTCGATTATTTAAAAAATTTTTTTCCTATTTATTCATTCCAATACAGCAACAGCACTGATTTAGAGGTGATATTGAAGTTTGCACTGTAGAAAACATGAACTTCGGTTGGCCAACCAGTTCAGTGCAACCTGAATTTTACATTTTCATATATTTAACGAGCAATTTTAATTTCGCAATAATAATAATTTTCAATTAAATAAACTCGAAATGACTTCGACCATGTCTTCTATTATTCACTCATTACGTCACTATTAGTAAAAAAAAGAATTCAGTTTTATGTTTAAATGTAAAGTACAGTGTACCGGAAATTAAAATGAAGCTAAAAACCTTAAGCTTATTGTCCTTTATTAATTAGTACTCACTACTACTTAGACAGAATTATGATTTGATAGAAGCGAGAAAATTTTCTGAAAAGCTCATGCTCTACTCATTCAAATTTTTGAAATCAATCGAAAATATACATCTTGTACCATTGCAACTAATAGAAATGAGAAGTTATATTAGAATGTAACTAATCTGTTACATTTAATGGCTGGGAATTCAGCTAGTAAATACAATTATAAAAAGTTTTTTGAAATTTTAAATAAGGCGTACTTGATGTATGCGCTTGTGACGAACAGACAAAACACGGTGCATGACATTGTTGTAGTGCAGATGAAGAAGGTGAAAGTGGAATTTGGATCACCTGAATACCTCCCATAAAACCCAAATTTGAAGGGTTTTCAGGAAAACCTATAGATGTTATTCTATTCAAACCTAGGCCAAAACCGTTTAGTCCTAAGCCTCCCATAAGACGCGTTCCATCTAAATTTAGCCCTCTCAAACCTAATCTATCAAAACCGGAAGACTGTAAAATCTCTTTTTCCAATACTTCGGCTACAAGTGCTGGAGGTGGAGGCCAAAAGAAACCATTACTATAGTTCGTAGCGCGACCCACGATTTTTTGTAATATTTGATCATATGTTTTAGCATTTACGAGAGCAGGGATGGAACCAATATAGGGTGAAATTGGTCCTACAGATGAAAAACCTGCTAAATGCGCCCGAACACAGGAATAGATTAAGGAGATGACAAAATATCCTGAACATGTCGAAATCCTGAAAAAGCATCTCGTGAAATATGAAATTTGAATGCTGTCTTAAATAAATTCTAAAATTAACAATTAATAATCTTTTCTTAAAATATTTAGTTAGACCTATGAAAATTTTCGAAAGACTATAATATTACTTCAAAAGTATTTTTTTAGACTTTCCCTAAGATAAGTTAGGTTTATTAAAATCATTTTCAGGCTTGTATAACTCTATTTCTAAGCCTTCGCATTTCCTATAAGAGTTTAGTGAGTGATTCGTTTGCAGGGTCAGTAAGGAAAGAAAATGAAATCAAAATGCAATGTTAAATTAGCATATTATTTTATGCTTATATTGAAATGATAGCTAGAATTGTAAATATTTGATAGCAAGTGATCTTCTAAGTGTTTTATAATATGCTAACTTAGAAGAAAAGCTTATTAGAAAATAAAGATAAGGCGACCAAACAAACTCGAAAAAAAATATTAAGCCGGTGTTGAATACTTGAATACAATGTTAAGCCGACGTAACGTAAATGTATCGCTTTGCATTTTCCAAACATATCCCAAAATTTGAATTTAAATTCAGAAATTAAGTTCATCGGGATTGGAAGTGTAGATTGAAAGTTTCAAACTTACAAAATTTGTCCTGTTTTGGAAATTTGACGAATTAAGTCAAAAAGAAGTGACCGACCTTATTATCTCTGTCAATGAAGAAATAAGAAGAGGACGAAAAAAAGGATAAAACTTTCGTTTTATAAAACAGGAATATGTTTGATATTTCAAAGTAAAGTTTATTTCGTGAAGCTAGTTGTGTCGTTTTAAGGTTGTGATTCCAAAATTTGAACTACTTCTTAAGTATTGCTTGTCCGATGTTGTTTATCCATTACTTCGGTTCGTTATGATTGATAAGTAAATATACACTGTATGTTATTCAAATCATTTTATGAAAACCGGCATTTAAAACATTTCAACCAGAAAATTTGGTCCTATATATCGTTTAGATTCTTAAGAAGATGATGATGAATGTAGCAAGTGTTTACTTACATAAATCTTGTTTGTAAATTCCAATCTTCTTTCGAAAGCAAAATTTTTTCATAAATAAATGGATGAAGCAAAAAGAAAAAGAAGAAGCAATGTTTGACATATGCAATTGTTTTGATGTAAAGTAATCCAGTGATTCAGCTTTTTATTATAAGCATTAGAAGGTTGTTCGAAGTTATGAAACTCACTTACTCTTAACTTTCTTTCTACAATTTATTGAATCATTCTTCCAAGTTAATTAGTAATTCAACTCATAGTTATCATTTATTCATCTCGGTCCAATCGTCGGCTCATTTGCAAATATATTTGATGCGCATTTAGTTTTTTGGTGTTTGAATGCAGTTCAGATAGTCTAATTCTCTAAAAATTAACTTTTCATTTAGTTGTTCTAATTAGTATGGTAAATTTAAGCATGGCATTATAAATGAGAACTACGATTATTAATAATAAATAGTGTCGAGATGATCCAAATATTTTTACAATGTAAAAATGTCGAAATAATCGAAGAAGTTTTATGTTATAAAAATATTTCAGAATAATTGAAATAATTTGGTGTAAAGATTTTCCAACCTGATAACCAATGTTTGGAATATTATGAAGTTTATCATGAAAACTTCCTTATTTAATGATTTACAAAGACAAATTGTTGTGATAAAAATTCATTGATAGACAGAAAGTTTTTTTTTCATATATTGGATTGTTTTTCTATTCCCATAGAGAAATTTGTCGAGAGTTTAATTGAATTATAGTTTTGTAAGGATTTGATGAGGATAGATGGTAGTAGTATTATTGTATTGAAGAGCATAGAAGAATGATGTTTGACTACTCTTGTTGATGATCATTGACTCTTTACATAGTGACACTGTTTACAACACTTATAACATTTCATCATAAGATTTGAGATGTTTATAGTTCGCATATATTGTAAATAATTGTTTATAAGATTGGAAGATGAGAATTGGACAATGATTTATTACTTAAGGATCAAAAATTATATCTTGATCTTTGAGTAAAAATTTAAAGATCAAGAATCATTTGCCTGAAAAATATTTTAACTTAAAACAATTCTTATACAACAGATTTATATTACCGTTAGTTTACATCAGTTATTCCGTAACATTTTTATAATACAGAATGACTTTAACATACATTTGTAAAAATATTTTGGTTGATCCAATAATTGGCACAAGCAAATAGTTTGTAATAAAAGTTTTTTGATCGATGGATAAGATGTCAAAGGTCAGTGAATATCAAGAGTAGAGTCGATCCAGTGATCAGCGATTGTTCATTAGTTGTAGCTTATAGTGTTTTGATGGATTATAAATAATAATATGGAATTGAAAGGAATCAAAACGTACCATCAATAAAGTAATCTCTATCAAATGAATGTCTTTTCTTTATACAATGGGAGTTTGTTTACAATATTTAGCCATTGAAGATAAGCTCGATTACCAGATTTGAATATATAGAAATATATCTCAATATAACTGAAATCAATTCATAATTTGTTGTAAAGATTTCCCATGCTAATAACCAAGCTTATATTCAGTGTTAGATATACATATAACATATAGTAAGAAAAAAAAAACATATATGTGATAAAAACATTTCAGTTATTGCGACATTCCTAAGTAAATCTATTTTTTCTTTAATTGGTTCAACATTTTCTATACCATTCTTGTATTTGACATGACATAGGGCAATATTATGAGGTGACATTTGTAATGGAAACAGAAATGTTTTCTTTTTTTCCAGTCTCCTGTTCAAAGACAACTAAGGGAACCATTGTTTATCGGTAAAATATTCTGAATAAGACAATCTTTGTGCTACAAATTTATAATACACACATTTTGATTGTTACATATTGAAAATTTTCTCTCATTTTCCCACAAAGGTAATACGAAGTTAAATCGAATCAAGGGATCTCTGTCCTCCTTTTATATGCTAGGAGTTTGTTTATAAAACATTTAACTATTGAAGATAAACATAATTTCAGATTAGAAAAACTTTATTGAGAAAATCTGGTGATCGATTCCACCCTTGATATTCACTGACCTTTGACATCTTATCCATCGATCAAAAAACTTTTATTACAAACTATTTGCTTGTGCCAATTATTGGATCAACCAAAATATTTTTACAAATGTATGTTAAAGTCATTTTGTATCATAGGAATGTTACGGAATAATTGATGTAAACTAACGGTAATATAAATCTGTTGTATAAGAATTGTTTTAAGTTAGAATATTTTTCAGACAAATGATTCTTGATTTTTAAATTTTTACTTAAAGATTAAGATATGATTTTTAATCCTTAAGTAATAAATCATTGTCCAATTCTCATCTTTCAATCTTATAAACAATTATTTACAATATATGCAATATTATTCATTTTTATAATGAAATGTTATAAATGTTGTAAACAGTGCTGGCATCTATATTTCATTTTTGTAAGAATAAAAGAACAATTCATTGATAAATTCTGAGATAATACTCGCCATTAATTGTCTTATAATGTCCAAAAAAGGTAACTTTTCGTCTCTATCAATAAACTTTAATTACAACTATTCGTTTATGCCAAAAATCTTTTATGACTCTAATTGTTGAAAAACTTTCACGACAGATAGGTCATTTCTATAACTTACTAGGTATTTCGTGCAGTTATTTCCAGAAATCACGACCATATATCATAATATAGGGCCTTAAGACGAATGAAAGTAACAGATGAAGAAGGACCAAATAAAGAAGCGAAACGTGGAAAAGAGGATAGAAAGATTATTACTTCAATAGTATATAATGTGTTGTTAGCTACCAGTTGACGGATACAGTATTTTATTCTTTGAATCATAAAATTCGGGTCCTCATGTTCCTCTCTTACGTATTATTTGTTGATGACATCTTCCGTATTTCACTTTTTTAAAAACTTGGTCATTGATGTCATGAAGAATTGGCCACATTTCCCAATGAGAGAGAGAGAAACTGTGGATGTCGCCATTTGTAATCTTAATTAATGATATTATTTTCTTCATTAATAATATAGGGCGACATCATCTTTCATCGTCGTTGTCAAGGAGCTCACAATAAATACGATGGTTACGACGAATCGTTATGTGTCATCGATGTATCATTAAATTATTTTAAAATCCTAAATTGTCTGTCATTTTTCATCTTTCTTCGGCCTGATTATTTGTAAATCATAAAGTAGAATGCTATCCTATAGGGGTCATATATTTCCGTTGTCAACAAGTTTGTCATTCAATTATTCGCCATCGACATGCAATGTTCGTCATTCGTTACAAAGCCGAAAGATTTATTGTAGAAAGAAAGGAAAAGGAACAAAAAAAAAAGGTAAAGTAATCAAAAAAAGGTAATGGGCCAAAAAAAAACAAATGTTTACTATTTAAAGACATTAAAGTAGTCTCACAGAAAGTCTTCCAATATGGTAAAAGTTATATCATATAGAGAAAATTTTTTTTTTGTTGAAAAACTTTTTGATCTGCTATTTTTGCAAAGGAATTCCATTGCATTCTCTAGATTTTTTTTTTTTTTGAAAATTGCAAGAAGCGAGGTAAAGCATAACATTAGCAAATTAATGAACTAATTTCATGATGACCATATGATTTTTAATAAATTCGAGAATAATAAGAGTTTTAAACTGAAAAACCACCTTTTTCTATTTTATTATTTAAGGAATGCTTTTCATTTAAATTTCAAAAGGATATATATCTGATTAACTTAGTGCTGTTATACAAACTATCAAAATAAAAGAAGTTCGAGTGAAACAAAATTTGCAAATATTACGTGAACAGATGAAAATGACGAATAGAATATTATCACAATGGACTAAAAACATATCAATTGATAAGAAATAGAATGCACTACGAAATTCTACTTCACTATGATTTACTTTTTATCAATGCCAAATGTTTAGTTAAATGTTAATTGGGCACAAAAAAAATAGTGCAAATATAACTTTTAAGTCATCACAATGCAATAGTTCATAGTATAAACTATTTTGTATCTATACGGATGGGATTATTACCTGTATTAATATAGCTGTGATTGTTTGTTGGAGTGGTTAAGCAGATTACTGTAGAATAGACCATCCAGCAAAATCTCCACCTCTTCTTATACCTTCTATCAAATTGAAATTTCGACTACATTTGCTACCCATTCATCACATTTCAGTGGTCTTCATTTGTCTGCACACGTGTGTGTGTGTGTGTGTGCGTGTGTGTGTGTGTGTGTGTGTGTGTGTGTGTGTGTGTGTGTGTGTGTGTGTGTGTGTGTGTGTGTGTGTGTGTGT